TCTCTCTCTCTCTCTCTCTCTCTCTCTCTCTCTCTCTCTCTCTCTCTCTCTCTCTCTCTCTCTCTCTCTCTCTCTCTCTCTCTTCCTCTTTCTCTCTTTCCCTCTCTTTCTCTCCTTGTCCTTCTCGTTCTCTCTTTCTCTTTAGCTTTAGACGCTCTTTACACTTTCCTAAAGGCCTTCGCTCGGCCGCAGAAACAATCCGTTCGTGCTAACTCCACGTCGAAGCGAACCGACGTGGTGAATGCACCAACATCACGGGTACCGAGAAGTCAAGGGCCAGTCGTACCAAGAAAAGTTTTCAACTTTTATTTTTTTTTTCTCACTCGGAGAAATGCACGAGGCACACCGCATACAATTCGATCCAATCTAAACATCCACCTCTACAGAAGGTATGTCGGACGATGACGATAGCGAGAGACGATTTCTCTTTCGTCCCGAGCGCTATTTCAAAGTACATCGTCCGAGCCTACTTAATCTATTATTCTTTCGGAGGGGAAAGGGGGGGGGTCGGTCGGGTAATATCGCCGCTTTCATGATCGCACGCGCCACCGAGCTCCCGAGTAACAAAAACCGTAAATTATCGGGCGTGTTGCCGAGTCAATTCCGTGTCGTTTCCGCGGCGAGGAAGGATCACGCAAATTGCGTTTGACAAACTGGATCGGCGTGGTAGTTACCGCCTTCTCGCGAGCGTAATGATCGCGTGGCGCGTGGCTACGTGGCGCACGTAAGGAACCGGACGTTACACGAGCGATCATCCCCGGCGGATCGCGGAGATCGCGCAAGCCGCGCGGGAGGAAGGGGGAGGGAGATATTTCCAGACCGATCGGATAAAGTTGTAACGCCCCGAGGTGGATTTTATAAAACGGTTAACGCGTGTTCTGTACACGTCGCGTCTAGCCGGTGATCGAGAAGCGCGCTAAGTCGTGTGTTATTTTCTTCGTAGGTGCAACATTCCGACACTCGCTTCTCACGCTCGTCGAAAGTGCACGCCGAGCCGAGCCGAGCGCGCTGCAAATTGCCGGGCGTGACGAGGATTTCATGTCGTTTCCGAGGGAAAGGATCACGCAAATTGGATTTGACAGAGCGGATCACAGTGGTAGACCCACCCCTTTCAGGACGTAACGATCGCGGCGCGTGGCCGCGCAGCCACGCATATAATGCTTGCGAGCGCGAATACTGCATACATGCACAGACGAACGTCTGTGCGTGTACGCCTGTTGCGTTTCGTAGACGTGGAATCTTAAGTTTCTCTCGCTTATTATCATAGCGAACAATTACGAGCTTCTCGACTCTGTCGATTTCCTAAGCGAATTTTTGCTAGTTTTCTTACCTTCATTATGCCGAAGAGAATTTACTTTAACGAGTAGAAACGATGGATCTCTCACAGTGGATCACAGTTATAGCCCGGTGGGCACGGAATTTCAATTCTACTAAGCGGACAAAAAAAGGGTGTCAATATCTGTGTTGTAAATCACGCATGTGAGAGGAGGCACGACGATGCCTGGCGCTTACAACGGCGTTTCGGTGTTGCCGCGCCGGGCGACGAGCACGAAGGACCGGATCGTCGAAGTCGGTGTGCGGACTTAAGTGAATGAGGAAGATAAACATAATAATTACGGCAAATTGAGGCCTGCCACTGAAAACAGCATTGTGGCGAGCGGAGAGGAGGCGAGAGAAAGAAGCGGGCCGTACGCGGGCCATGGCCGCGACGCGTATCGGTTGAATAAACGCGTTTAACGTACTTGGCGTGCCAGCGGTAGCGTGGGTGAACAGGGGGATTTATCGAGGAACACATTTAGACCCGTAGCCACCCCGTGATTATGAGCTCCGAGTTGTAAATTTTATTAACATTATCGTTCGTTGTCAATAATCTTTTCGTAAGGTATTATTTTTCAGGAACGCTCAGATTCCCTCTTCCTTCCCAGAAATTTATTTATTCAAATCACCGACTTGAGAATTGTCTTTCCCCGTAACATTCCTCTTTAGCACGGTTTGAGATACGACAAAAGTAACCAAACGAAGTCGTATGCTCGGCCGGAAGTGCGGCATTCGCCGCATGTGGGCCGGTACTCTTAGACGATACCATAAATTGCTCTAATCTCGCAAACGGTAATAGGCATATCCATTCTCGCGGCCGCGACGTGTTGGCGAGGTTGGAAGACACGTTTCACGTGCGCAAAAGAACGCGCGTTTCATCAATTCTTATCGGCTTTTAACTTTAGCGCGAACGAGGCTAGGCTCGTCAAGCTCAAGATTTTTCTCATAGGTCTGCAATCTCTCACGCAGTTGGAAACTCAATACTTAACTGATTTGTCGGTAGAGCAAATGTTGCTTCTTATCAACACGCATATAGAAAAGCTAACATTTCGATTTGAACCACTTTTTAAATTTTATTATCCTAAAAATAATTTTAAATGAAGGATTCTCCTGATTGCAATTATGTTTTTTTTTACGAAATATTCTGATAATTTCGTAACATGCATCTGTTTTAGGAAATATAGGGCGATAAGCTCGGAGATTTTTCTGAATTGTATTGTAAGCCGCGTTTCATTCCATAGGCGATATACCGAGTGTAAACGATTGGGAGATGCATCGATTTCGATTAAGTAACGACCTCGACCTAGTGAATTACGCGTTGCATTCGGGAATTTAGCCCGGCGGCTACGGCCCGAGCCTCTCGCATACCCGCGTCCGCACGCAGCAATGAAGTTTGCTTTCGGTGATCGCGCCCAGGCCGGTTTTCGGTGCCGCAATGCCGCAGGCCACTCGTCCTTTTTAGACCCTAAAAATGATCTCAAATAAAAATAACCGACGAAATTTAACAGGAGGCAGGGGAGCGACATTTTATTCCCCCGTTCGAGATATCCTATTTTTGGTAGCGCATTTTTTCCTCCAAGGAGGAGCATCGCGGCGTCGACGGGGCGCATTTTTCAAATTGCTCCCTGCCGTCGTCTTTTATTTCGCCGTGGCACCGTGTTTATTTTAGCTAAGTACAAAAACCGCAAATGATGTGTCTAAGAAGAGGCGAGCCGCGGCGGATCTCCTCTGCGCGATGATCTTCCGCCGTCGCGAATACCTACACGTGTATCTCGATGCGCGCGATGTATAAGGCGCGCTGTTAGTGTAATAATAAACTCTCTTGAACGGCGCGGCTACGGCTAACAGAATGTATCTTGCGAGTCACAGTGACTGACTACTTGGCGCCTGCACCGATAAACCAACCCCGGGCTTGTACTCGCGCACGATTGTCGGCCGTGCACACGTTTAATACGTACGCTCGCGTACGCTGACACTAGAGACACGGACGATGAATGAGCTAATTGTGCCTTCTGATGAGCGAGACCCGTCGTCTCTTTTATCTCTTTTCCGCTATGGATGACGTACGCGCGCACTTGCCGGCTG